CTCTCCTCTCCCCCTTTTAATTTTATTTCCTTTCCCTCTCTTTCTTCTCACCTTTTCTTCCCACCTATTCCTTCCTTCTCACTTTTTCTTTATTTCCCTTCCTTCTTTCCTTACCTCCTCCCCTCCTTCGCACCTTTCCCTCCCTCTTTCTTTCCTCTTTCCTTCCTTCCCTTCTTTCCCTCCCTTGTTCATTCCTTCCTTCTATTCTTCTTTTCCCATTTATTTTCTTCACTTATTCCTTCCTTCCCTTGTTTTTTCCCTTTCCTTCAAAACCCTCCCTGCTCCTTCTAGTCTGGTCACAAACAAGCTCAAGTACAGTTATTTTGGAGTTCATGTTTGTCAGTCTGGACATATGCAGTCAACAAAGATGGAAGGGCCAGGAAGGGAAAAGAGTGGCTGCTCAAGAAATTTATAACTAGCATCATTCACAACCCCCCCTCTGAGATGCACACAATCCAGAAAACACACATGCAGACACACACTGCAGCCTCTAAGAAAAGCAGCCGCATCAGTTTTCAGAGCAGCACTCTCTACTTTCCCCCTCCCTTTTCTATCTCACTCTCTCCCAGTCTCATGTTCACCCACTCACTCTCCCTCCTCTTCTGCTTTCTCTCCATTGCACATTCTATCGCTTGCTCTCTCTCTTGTTTCCGCTCGCTCTTTCTCCCTCTGCTTGCTTCTCTCACACTCTGCCTGTGCTTCTGCCAAGGTCTGAGTCTTTCAGTGTGGGAATGTAGCAAGCTCAGAGACAGGACTGCCTTTGAATTCTGGTGCAATGATGGATGCAGGGCAGAATCTCGGATGTACACTGACAGAACAGGAGTACTAAGGGCAGGGATTGGGAAAAGGATCTGATGGATTTAACCCTCGCAGCCGTCTCTGCCTGATCACAGTACATCATTCTCCCCCGCTCCGCTTTTCTCTCCTTTGGGGTGGATTACCGGCTGCCCGTGTCCACTGATGCACCACTGTAGAGACTAGAGGGAAGATTCAAACTGCGTAGCCAGAGACGAAGTGCCGTGTCAAGGGAGAGAGAGAGTGCCGTGTCAGGGGAGAGGCACACAGAGCTGTCCCTTGAGTGGAGCTGTGCTTCTATCGCTACCTGAGCTTCTCCACACACACACACACACATATATGCACACACTCACACACACATACAGAAGCAGGGCTGCGCCAGCCACGATGACCGATGCGTTAATGCAGCTGTGAAAGAAGATCTGAAGCAGGGAGCTGCCCTCGCTCACGGATTTATAAGGAAAATTTGACTCCAGGCAGAACACCGACGGATCCACAAAACTTAATTTTTGTTCTATTTTTCATCTTTATATATGGAGTGTCTTGGGAATTACCTTCAGTTCTATGGAAGCTGAACTAAACAGTGGCTTGTTCCCAAAACCCGCTCTTCTCCCAAATCCAGTCCCTTTTGATTCCTGATCGAGTGTGTGTGTGTGTGCGTGTGTATGTGACTATTGGTGTCTTCGAGCTTTAGGGTTTGTTTATTGTATTTGTAAAGAATTACCATTTATGTGTTCAGGCCACCATGGAGACCATGACCCTGGAGGAGCCCGGGGGTGAACAAGCCTCTCCCCGGGCCCCAGGGCCCCTCCGCTGTGGCCCCTGTGCGGTGTGGCCACGCCAGCAGACCTGGCTTTGCGTTGTACCCCTGCTGATGGGCTTTGTGGGCCTAGGCCTCAGCCTGATGCTTCTAAAGTGGATTGTGGTGGGCTCAGTGCAGGATTATGTCCCAACTGACCTGGTGGATGCCAATCGCATCGGACAGGACCCCATTTTCCTATCTAAACCCAGTGCCCTGCCCAAGGGTTCTGATGGCTCCACATCTACCACTTCCGCAACGCCCTCAGCGGCTCCGGGTACAGGTACAGTGCAAAGGACTCGAATTGGGCAGTCCTCAAACCACACGGCCAGTAGCAGTAGCAGCAGTGGAGGAGGTGGTGGAGCCTTAGGGGGAGGCTCAGGAAACAGAGCTCCACACCTGCATAACAGAGTGGGAACACGATTGACCAACACCACCACCGCCACCCGAGCCACCAATCCTGCCCCACCGGGAGGAAAGGAGGTGACCCCACGCAGCACAACTGTCCGAAAACCCAACGGGGAGGGTGTGAGCCGAAATGCATCTCCTTCTGCACGGGCTGGGCCACCGACTACCACGAACACGACAACCACTATGATTATGACGAGTACAACCACCACCCAAGCGGCCCAACCGACCTCCACCCTCACGTCCCCCTCCAAGCCTGGTCAACGCTGGAATCATGGGCGCTCCTCCAAGGGCCCTTCAACCAAGCCTACTCGCCCACACCATCGCTTCAGGACACGTAAGTGTGATCGTCTAAACATTTTGATTGTATACATGCATGGATGGCGGTGTGTAGATATGTTTGTGTGTGTGAGCTTGTCTCACTGTCTGTGATGGCATGATTTTATGAAACACCTTTTTTTTTGTCATATAGACACATTGTTTGGTAAAGTCTTATTATTTTGCTTGCTTCCAATAAAATCCCTTCCCAACTTCTTATGCATCAGGATTGATACCTATTCCAACTATCTTCTCTGCATTACAAAAGAGACAGTCAAGCAGTTTAATAGTGTTTGTGCTTGCTGCTGAGTTCATTAGTTCTGCATGTTAATGAGCACATAGCCGACAGTTTTTCATCTCTGTCTTTATCCTCTCTGTATCCTGTGGACACAGGGCTGCCCACTTGCTCCATTTGTTTCATATCAGTTTTCGGGAATAATGACTCCCAGTGTTACAGCTTCTGTTTTTTCCCCCAATAGCATTAGCATGTTTTCCCATTTAAAGTAGGTCTATTGTCAGAGAGAGATTTTGCCTGCTCTAAAGCAGATATTCAAGGTGAGAAGAGGAGAGACAGATAGAAGGCAAAAGAGGAAGTGTAGTGCTGGAGAGGGTGCTGGCTGCTCTCGTCCTGTCAGTGGAGATCAGGTCTTAGGGTGGAGATTCCATTTAGATAATAAGTAAAGATATGAGTACTGCAGTAGATATGGTAGGTAGACTTGAGGCAGTGGATACACACTAAGACACTCATGCAGGGAACGTGTGCACATAGACACACACACACACACACACACACTAGAGAGAACTCAAGAAGAGATATATGAGAGCGCTGCAAATGGGAAATAGTATTTACATTGTGTGTACATAACTCCATGTATGTCCTTATACATCTGTATGATAATACCATCAGTTCCAGTGTCAGCATTGCTAATTTGAAATTGTACCTGTCAGGCCAAAGATACTCATTTTTTGTCAAGCTACTAGTTTGCTACATTACTTATTCTTTTAAATGCATACATATCCTGGTATACTAGTTATGTATGGATTTTACAATTCAGTTAGCCGTATTTGTCTGGAATGAAAATAGTGGGGGTTTTAAATGAGCAATGTCAATTAGGTTTGCTATACTACTATAGAAATACAGTAAATACAGTAAATTGTGAAACATTATTGCAATTTAAAATAACTATTTTCTATTTGAACATATTTTAATATGTAATTTCACCCTGTGATTGCACAGCTGAATTTTCAGCAGCCATTACTCCAGTCTTCAGTTTAACATGATCTTTCATAAATCATTCTAATATGATGATTTGGTGCTCAAGAAACATTTCTTATTATTATTGATGTTGAAAATGTATCGATGTTTAAATATTTTTGTTGAAACAAGGATGCATTTTTTTTCTTCCCAGTCTCTTCCCAGTTTCGCCAGTTTTCTTCCCAGAAGAGAGCACATTTGTTTGCTCCCACATTTGCTCATAATATATGGTACATATTGGTAAAAGTAGCTTGTTAAAGGTAAAGCTAGGCTAAATTGAAAAAATCCAATCTGCTTTCACAGTACTGAGTTAGTGAGATTGAGTTAGTTACTCTCCAACACTGCACAATTCACTCATGAATCCTAAAAGAATGTGCTATCCAAACAAAATCCAAGTTTGTTTACAGTGACTGAAAAAAATTCTGTTTTATTAGGGAATGGAGAATTGGCATTAGTCTGCATGCTAATTTGATGTACTTCTGTAATCAAATCTGTAATTTTGTTTATTTTTAAAGCAAGGTGTTAAAAGCAGGTCATCAATTTTGTGTGTCAGCACCAATTAGCTGGCGTGGAGTTTGAATGTCATCCAGTCCTGGGACTTTAAACAGCCCCTTACGATGAGAAGACAATTGCAGAGATAACTTAAATGCATTTCACATTACTGCTCCCGCTTCTTCCTCAATAATTGTATCTTGGAGATCACAGAGAGGTTTATAGCATTTACAAATCTAAGCAGTTAACCACGGGTTGTGTGTTCTCATAAGGAAAGCAAGTCAAGATCTGCTGCTTTATGCCCCTGGGCAACATTCCCATAGCTGACTACTTTCACAACGAAACACACAGCGCCTTCACGACATGGCAGCGGCGGCGGCAACAACAGTACTACATCAAGAATAAAACGAGAACGGCTTCTTTCTTTGCGTGAACATTTGGGCGGCGTTATGCAAACGCTGCAAACACGTGTTATAGCCTAAATAGAAACTCTGCATACGCTTGCACCTGTTCATCGTTTATACTTTATATTAGTTCATGTTGCTTTTGTGCAATAGATGAATAACAATTTATTTGTTTTAGATATTTTATGTTTAGATATTTCTATTTTGCCGGAGTCCCGTGAATCATTTTATTCTCCGGCATCCCGCACACACACGAGTGTCTACCCGCTCGCAGCAGCACTCGCCCATCTTGTCCCACGCCGCACTCTGTTGCGTCGGGTCTCGCGGGAGCAGGTCTCTAATCCACTGGCACTTGACTCGACAGTGCGTGTGCTACATCCTTTTTACAATCTCTAGATTATAAAACACTGTATTCTGTCAGCAATGTAACGCGGCAGTAACGTATAGAGACTTCGGCTTGTAACTATACTCTATAATTACTATTTTGAAAATTATAACACGTTAAATTCCTCCGTTACTAAAAAAGTAATCATATTACAGTAATGCGTTACTAAGTAATGCATTACTGCCCAACACTGGTTATGTGTGAATACGTAAACTGAATCCAACACCTAGTCAATAGTGAGAACATAGCAAACTGCTTGTATGGAGAGAAGCTGATGTATAATTTAATACCACACATTCTCTCTTTCACAGTGCAGTGAATTTTCTCTTGAGCTGAAAGTGCCCTGGAGCGAATACTGATAAGGGAAGGGTGGGGGCAAAGGAGGGCCCTGACCCTGGGGCCAGAGAAGAACGAGAAACTATGCTTTTGGCCAGGGTGCTTGCACACCACATGGCTGTCTTTTTCATTTATTAATATGTTGACATTGTCTGTGTCAGGGTCATTGCTAAAACTCACAGGACCTGTGGCAAAGTTTTTAAGGGTGAGCCCTTTTCCCAGTCTTTATATACATAAAGCAGTGTTTCTCAAGTGGTGATTCCTGACCCAAAAACGCAAGTATTAAAATGTAAAATACCTGAACCTGATGAAAAACAAGCAAACAAAATATATATATTAGTTTGGGGTTGGTAACATTTTTTTTATGTTTTTGAAAGTTTCATGCTTACCAAGGCTGCATTTATTTGATTAAAAATACAGTAAAGCTGTAATTTTCCGAATAGCAATATCATGTTCTCCTATTTGTAATTGGGAAATATTTTTACAATTTAAAATTACTCTAGTCTTCAGTGTCACATAATCCTTCAGAAATCATTCTAATATGCTGATTTAGTGCTTAAGAAACATTTCTTATCCCAGTTGAACATTGTTGTGCTGCTTAATACAATTTTTATTTATTTATTTATTTTATAAATATTAATAACATATTTAATTCAATATTTAACTTGACCAAAACCTTAGTGGGCACCCCACTCACAGGGTCCATGACAGTGTACCTGGTTTTCCCACATGACAACAGTGGACAGAAAGCATAGTTGTGTGACACATTAATGCAGGGATATGCTTTCTTGAACAGTGTACAGCTTTCTGAAACTGTGTGGAATTTCTTTATATTGTGAAATATGAGATGGCTGCAGCATAGATTTTGTTCTTGGAATAGATCTGCATCAAACAAGGGAGGTGTTATTGTTTGGCCAAGCTGTTTTATGAATAGAAATGGCAAATAGAAAAAAGAGTAGTGGACTGTAAGTTAAATTTTGAATGTGCAATATTGTGTTGGATAATACATCACTGTATAATATAATACAAGCCTGTTCTGCCCCTGTTTGGACTTTCTCTCTGAGGATCGTCTGAGAAGGAACATGATGAAATGCACTGGTAGCAGCCATGTGCAAACGCATTCATCTTTACGGCTGCAAAATGATCTCATGTTTTAGTTGGGCATGTATGGTAATGCACCAGGAGAGACTATTTTGTATTTTCCATAGGATCCCAATTGAATAAGCGAGACGCTAACATCATTTTAAAATCACCCCAATGAGAGTGCATCTCTCACATATATCTGTATTATTATCCCATTGTTCTGAAGGATGACATGTAGCCGTCCATTAGCTGCAGTGCTGAAACCTGAGCCGCTCATCTTCTTCCCTGCCTTCCGACTCCATTTCTTTCACCCTGATGCACAGCATCCTCCGCCTTTACATTTCCTACTCTAATATTATCCTTTATTCTGTCCTCATCCTCCTTCTTATCCTTATTTAATTTTCCCTCTCTCCCCCTGTCCTCATGCCTGAGTTTCCTGTATGTGTTTTTCACATGTCCTATCTATGTTCGGGGTTGATTTGGCTCAGGGGCCAAGCCTCATTACTTCCTGTGTAAGGAGGCAGTGGGCGGCTGCCGCTCTAAATGCAGCTGGCTATCTGCCTTTGGGGGGCGGGGACGCTTCTTCACTGACACATCATTGTGATTCCATGCACACCTTCCACGGCACAGTCGGAAGTCGGCGTGGTTGAGCGGATTTTGTCAGGTATGAAAGCGCAGCGGCATCAGGAGGGAGACACCGAGAAAATGTCAGGCTAAAGCCTGGGGAAAAACATAGCCAGAAAATCACACTCTGGCTGCTAAAATAGAAGGTTCGAGGAAGAGAACAGCTCTGAATTGGTGATTAATAATTTGACATGCTAACACGTAGCATGCACTCAAGTGCGGCATACGCCGCAACCACTGTGGCTCCGGGGGGAAGGTGTACCATAAAATCATACACCGGGATTAAAGACAGAAATCCATTTAGCGCCGTCTCATGGGAGGTCAGTAAGGCTTTCGCCCCGGGCCAAGAGGAATGTAGTTCCAGCAGCTGCTGCCACTCTGCTCTCCCCAGATACCAGCAACAGGGTAGCCACGTGATGCTTGACCACCAGTCACAACCT